CCTCCTCCTCCTCCTCGCCCGCAGTTTTGGGTCAGGGGTTTCTGGAGCCCCGCGGCCAGGGAGGCCCATCGGCGGTGGATGTTCTGTTTTTCTCCCGGCACGGGCACGCATCCGCACCGCATTGCACGATGGCACGGCTGGATCAGTGCCGCGGGTCGCAGAGAGAGAGAGAGAGAGAGAGAGAGTGGAAGCGGGAGGAACGGCGATGCTAACATGGGTGACAAGCGTGGATGGCGAGGGTTAGAGAAAGGAGGGGTAGGATGAACAGGAGTCCACAGGGAGGAGGAAAGGACTGGAAGGCGCGTCCCAAACTCGGGCCCTGCCTTCCTGGAAGGCGCTCATGGCATGTCGCAGTTCGCGCAGAACCAGTTCTGGTGCAACGAGTGTGCAACGATGCAATAGGCGAGCGCTCTCAGCATCAAGCAGCTGCGCTGTGCAGGTCGCAGCCGCGCGGTGCGTTTGCTTCGTTTACCGTTTTCCAGGTCGCTTTCTTTCTCCGTTATTGTAGAGGCGCCTCCGCCTCACCAACCTCGCTCTCGCCTTCTCCTCCTTCTCGTCTCCTTCTTTCTCGTCTCCTCCAACCAGCGCCCCTCCGCGCTGCATGATCCTTTATAACACGTGATCGCTCGTGCTCGTATTTGCACTTATCTCGGTGCATCGCGTTCTCTTGTTGTTACGTTCCGTCGTGGCCCAGTGACTTGGGATTCTTTCTCTCGTTGCTCGATGCCCCGTTGCCTCGTTCCCGTGGTACGTCGTGCGCTGGGCAAGTTGTTCCCTAGTTACCCGTTTTGCTTTTTGGATTCCCTACGTCGCTGTTGGGATCTGAAGTCCCAGCTTTCTGATTCATCACACGGTGGACGAATTGGGGTCCGTGGAAAACAATTCGATTGGAAAGGCGGGTAAAGTGCAAGGTTTCCAGGCCGGTTGCCCGTTCCTTCCGTGATTCATTGCTTATATTCGATATTGCGTTCTCTCGTTGCCTCGATTGCGGAGTGCAGGGGCCTCGTTTGGTTGGCCGATCGTTTCTCGACTTGTGCTCTGGATCAGTTTTTCAGTTCCTTCATCGCCAGGGGTGGAGTCGAGAAGCGGTTGTTGACCGCTCGTTTCCTGACCACTCCTTGTATTCCGAGGTTGGTTCCATTTCTCCTCGTTTCTCTCGTTCCCCTGTTCTCGGCGTCACCCCAACATACTAATGCTATGTGTGCGTCGCCCCTCCCAGGGGCGACGCGCGCACCGAGAAATCTTACAGTCTATGCGTCGTGGCGGGCGCTTTCTGGCCACACCGCTCGAAAAACGATGTACTACAAGATGGGTGTACTATATGTTCGGGTCGGACGCGCGCCTCAAAAGGAGCTATAGTTTTTCCATCCTGTCAAAGTGAAGGGGCTTCTCTTCGACTCGATTACGACGTTGCTAGATTTTGCTCTCGCGGACAAGCTTGAGGAGGAGGGTGCAGGGAAAGGGGACGACGGAGACGACGGCTGACGGAGACGACGACTCGAGCAGACAAGCCCTCACACAGGGCTGGACCTGAACGCTGTTTTGCTGGACTTCGGCTTTATTTGGTTTTTCGTTTTGGCAGGGAGGTTTTCGTTTTTGCATTTCGTTTTTCGAGTGGCTTCACCGTTTCCGTCCTCCTTAAGGGGTGGGCCGACACCCAATCTATGTTTAACGCTTTCCTATTTCATGTTTCTGCCTACTTCTTCCGACCGATGGGTATGGGCAACGAGTGGTCTTCCAATGGGAGAGAGGGCTGTTCGAGTTGATGCGCGCGCATTTCTTCGACACCCTCGTCAGCACCTTCGCCGTTATCATCGCCGGCGCCATCATTGCCATTGCCATCTTCATCACCATGATCTTCATCATCATCATCACCATCACCATCGCTGTCGTCACCATCACCACCGTAGTCGTCGTCGTCGTCGTCGTCTTCGTCGTCGTCGTCGTTGTCGTCGTCGTCATCACCACCACTATCATCATCATGATCATCATCAACATCGTCGTTATACTCATCGTGATTAACATCATCACCATCATCATCAGCATCACCAACATCAGCATCATTCCCATCACCATAATACTCATAATTATCATCACCACCGTCAACATCACCAGCACCACCAGCACTATCATCATCATCACCACCATCATCAGCGTCATTGCCGTTTTCGTTGCCGTCGTCATCAGCGCCATCACCATCGTCATCGTCGGCGTCGCCGACGTCGTCGTCATCATTCGCCCGCGATGTCGGGGTCGACTGACAATTTTGGGAACGCTTACGCGGTGAACACGGCCATGTCGACCAAATGGTCCTTGACGGTCCTCCTCATTGAGCTCTCGGAGGAACTGATGTCGCACAAGATGGCGCTGAGCCTCGATCGACAACCGCGTGATGAGAACCAGGAGGCAGACGACCTCAGCAACATGAAGACGACGAACTTCGACGAATCCCTCAAGACCCACGTGGCGGCCGCGGACCTGACGTGGCACGTGCTCCGCGAGATGATTCAGGCCTCCCGGAAAAACTCGACGAGTCGATCGTCGAGTAAAGGGCGGCCGCCTCCGGGCAGGACGCCCGCGCTTGGGCGCGGCCGCGGGAGTCGTGGACGGCGCGCGCGCCTTGAGCCGCGGTGACAGCCCGCTCAGCGCGTCTCGGAAGACGGCGCGCGGGCGGAGCTGGATGTGACTGCAGCGGCGCGCGGGGCCACATGCGACCCTTTGGGGCGGGGGCCCAGTTGCGAGGACCTATGGCGCGCCAGCGGGACAGCCTTGAATGTCCCCCTTCTGGTGGGCGCCGCTTATCGCGGATGGCCCCCAACCACGGAGGGCCCTATGGAGGGTGGGCAGGGTTTCGAGACCGCGCCCCTACCTCCACGCGCGCGGGCGCGGTGCGGTAGGGCGCAGGTTGCGGTGCTTCAGAGGACGGAGCGAAAAGCAGCGAGGTATGGAGGCGGGCCTCTTCCCTCGCGATGTCCGGTGGGCGGCCCTGGCAACCGCCTCCAACATTTCTTGGTCTCCGCCCCCCCTCCTTGGTGACCTGCTCCCATCTGAGAGGGGGGCATCAAGTTCCTGGGAGTGGCTGGGGCTCTGCGCGCCCGGCCCCCAGATCCTCCATCCGTTAAGGCGGCGTCGACGTCATCCCAGGCCTTTCTTTTAGAGTCATCGCGTTGTTATTGGGGCTATGCGAGGTCGTGGCCCCGTGTGCCCTCTTCTCGACGTTCGTGGCCATTCGGTTCAGGTGCTCGGCCGATTTTGCGCAACCCGCCCCCAACCACCCTGGGGCGTAAAGTTCCTTGGAGTGGCTGGGGTGGTGCGTGCAGGGCCCCCGAATCCGCCGCCCGTTGAAACACAGATCCTAGTGCGACCCTACCTAGGAGTTGGAGCTTTACAGACGGACAGCATGCATGGAACATACGTGCGCACACACACACATATATATATATATATAGCAGCAGCAATCGTGGATGCTGTGCTGCGCTATGCTATGCTATGTTATGCTCTGATTTGCTCTGCTCTGCTATGCTATGCCATGCTATGCTATGCTTTGCTGCGCAATGCTATACTGTGCTAGGCTAGGCTATGCTATGCTATGCTATGATATGTTATGCTGCGCTATGCTATGCTGCGCTATGCTATGCTATGCTATGCTACACTATGCTATACTATGCTATGCTTTTGCTTTGCCTTCGCTTTCGCCTCCACTTTTGACTTTGCTTTTGCTTTTGCTTGGCACCCAGGGAGCGCAACTGGGGGAACCGCGCGTTTGCTTTTACCTTTGCTGTTGCTTTTGCTTGGCTCCCAGGGGACTGGGGGAACCGCCCAGGGCGGTTTGCACTGCCCGGCCCCTTTAAGCCAAGCGAGGAAGAACCCTTCTAGGCAGAGCCAAGGCAGGGAAAAAACATCAACATCGTCCCTGGCCCTTCTTTTACCGCCGCCGCGCCGCTATTAAGACTCCTCGAAGACGCGCCCTCGTGTGCCAACACGAGTTAGTATATATATATATATATATATATATATTCCACGACGTTTGTAGCCGTTCGGTTCAGGCCCTCGGCCGGTTTTTCGTGACCCATCCGCAACCACTCTGGGGCATAAAGTTCTTGGGACTGGCTGGGGTCATGCGTACGAGACTCCCGAATCCGTCCCCCGTGAAAAAGGCATCAACGTCATCCCCAGCCCCCTGTTCACCCCCATCGCACCGTTATGAGGGTTATCCGAGAATGCATTTATTTTTTTGACTGGGTGTGCGCGCGTAGTGTTATCTGACGGTGATGAGGGCGCGCGCTAATAACAGTCCTTGGGGTGGTATGACCTCATAGGGACGGTGAACGAGGGGACAAAACCAGATGTAATTTGCAGTGCCCCAGAGGGTGTCGATAATCCCAGGGTGGGGGGCGGGGTGGTGCTGTGGTATTTTCCGATTCGGGAGAATCAGTGCAAGCTATGTGGTGCAATGTCGGTGGTGCAATATTTGTGGTGTAAGGTATGCGGTGTAGTATATGTTAAGCAATCCATGTGGTGCAATGCATGTGGCGTGGTGTACGCTATGTGGTGCAATCTGCGTGCTGCAACCGATGTGGTGTACGTTATGTGGTGCAACATATTCGGTTCACAATCCGTGGAGCAATCGATCTGGTGTAAGCTATGCGTGTGGTGCACTGCTTGGGGCGCATATGGGTAATCCTGTGTTTTTGAAGGTATGTGCTGTTTTTCTATATGGCGCCTGGTGCTCTTTGTTCGCGAGTGTCTGTTGTTAGTTTCGTGCCATGCCTATTTAATTTAGCATCACATGACAGTTTTGGTTGTGCGCGAGAGTGTGGATGTATCTGCTTCTTGCACCCGTGGCCTACACAGTCCAGAGCCTCTCAGTCAACACAGTTTATTGTCTTCGTGCTGCACTTCGGAGATCGCTCCAGTAAGGCATGAAAGTTGCCCTCCATCACGTGTGCAGGTGTGCGGACGTTCCACGTTGCCTGAATGTGCGCGGCGTGGCCGTTTTCAGGGCGCCAGGCCGCCTCTTTCTGGAGGCCCCATCGGCACAGCTGCCACGGCAGCGGCCATGGCGGACGTCGATGAGAATCTGCAGGGGGACATGTTGGACGTCACGCCGAAGAGCCAGGGCCAGCTGCAGAGCCAGCAAGAGATGCTGGAGGAGGGTGCGGGGGTTCATCCAGTAGTCCAGTTGTGCCGAGATCGAAGCGACGTGTTGTCTTGCTTGGCTGTATTCGGTGCGCGCTCTCCAGCATACAATGACATTGAACTATCTGGCAGTTTGGGAGGCTAGCGGCATGGACGTGAGTGCCACTACGCAATATTTCGCACAACACTTCTTGGACCAGGCATTCCGCGGGGTGGGGATGTCTTTGCACTGGGTGGGTCATGGATTTGTGACAGCTGCAGGTCTCTCTATCTTGGTGGTGGGAGACGGCATGCTGAAACGAAGCAGGATGAGCTCGCCATTGCCCATGACATGCTTCGTGCCTCCGACCTGCGTTCACGATGCACTGCAGAAGCCCATCGAGCTCCGCGGGGCCGAGCGCACGCGCTTGCGCGCAGAGTGGCCTGGTCTGCGCACCGCTTCGCGCGACAACAAGGGGCCGCACGGGGCACGTGCTGTGTGCCGCAGCCGGCCCTCCGGCCTCCGACGCCATTTTCGGGGGGGCCCCTCCCCCTTGGGGGCCCAGCGCCGCCCTTGGGGGCCCCTCCCCCTTGGGGGCCTCCCCCTTGGGGGCCCAGAGCCGCCCTCCGCCCGCCTTCCTCCCCCCGCCCGCTCGTCCTCCGAGGGGCCCCCCTCCCGCCGGAGCGAGCTGGGGACTGCGCGCCGCTGCCGAGCTGTGTGGGCTGGCTGCGTCTGGCCCGGCCAGGTCTCGGTCAGGACTCCCTGCCTGGCAGGGTCTGGCCTCGTCTTGTGCGGTCAGGCGGTCTCCTCGTCTTCGTCTTCCTGCTCGCTGTGCTCGTGCTCCTTCTCGTCGTCCTCTTCCTCCTGCTGCTGCTGCTCCCCTTCTTCTCGTTTCCTTCTCGTCCTCTGCCTCCTCGTTTTGCTCCTCTTTTGCATTCTCCTCCTTCCCCCCTCCCCCATTCGTTGTTGGGCTGCTTTGGGGCAGTATCGGGCCGTCTTAGGGGCCCCTTGGGGCCCTTTTGGACCGTCTTGGGTCTTGATTCGGCTTCTCGGGTCCCTCCGAGGGCCTTCTTGTGCTGTCATAAGTGGCTCGTATGGCAAATCGATTCCGACTTAGGGTGACCTTGGTGCGCTCTTGGGCCTCGGGGCTTCATTCGGCTTCTTGGGGTCCTCCGAGGGCCCCCTGGTGCTGTCACGGGGGGCCCTCCGTGCCACCTCGAGGCAGTGTGACCCCGGGGCGCGCTCCCGGGACGTCTTCGGGCCTTGCAGACCTCACCGGGCCCTCTCTGGAGGGCAACCCCGAGTCGTCTCCGTGACCCTCTTTGGAGGCCCTCTTTGGCCGGCCCCGGGGCCCTTCGTTGCAGAGGGAGGAACACGTCAGGAGGGAAAGAAGCATACAGGCACAGTTAATCGCCGACTCCCAGGAAAATATGGAGAAATATGGGAAGTGGGGGAAGACGAAAACCGAGAAAATATGGGAAAGTATGGCGAATCCTGTTATTTATGTCTATCTGTTTGTGTGTCCCCGGGCCCCTTCAACACGGTGGAACGGCCGATTCGTTCTCTACAGCTTCTTCGTTCTCGGTGATGTGTTCTCTCCCGCGGGCGCAGCCTCCGAAGCAGCCCGCGTGCGCCACCTCCGCGGAGCGCTTGGGGTAGTCGCTGGGGAGACGAGGAGAGAGCAGGGAGGCGGCGGGGAGCTCGCGGCCCCGGGCACGGAGGAGGGACCTCTGGCCTCGGCCGTGCGGTGT